AGATCACCATGGTAATTGTGTATCAATTTCTTTCAGACAAGCTTCGTTCAGTTACAGATGTAAACCAAACGTCCAATACGCTGCAACTGAAGATATCCCAGCAGGTGAGGTTGTACTTCATTCATTGTAGTCCTTGTATCTTCTAAACTGTTAACAATCCATCTTTTCCCTTTTAACTCAGTCGAGTCGGGTTTTTTTCCTGTTTTGGTCGCGCGGGGAGTGGGACTTTTCCTCTCCCTGCTTTCCACTTCAAATTCGTCTCCAGTCCCCCGCAACCAATTTAGGGGGAAACTTGACTCGACTGAGTTAGGAGGGAAAAGGGTCACTGTAAACAGTCCTTGTATCTTCCTATTCAAATCACACTTTTCATGAATGGAATGTAAAACGTGCATACGTCTTTGTACTTATTTATATAAACACGCTGAGAAATTTAGAGCATGAGAGAGGCAAACGTAGGACATAGCCGAGTATTTCTCATKCTTTTCGAGTACTCTGCATATTCCAAAAAGTTTTTATCATTGTACGAAGGAACTTAAAGTCGTTCCATTTGGTTTTATACACTTTTTCAGTGGGCGGAAAATTAGTACCAGAGTATGCATTTATTTTTTTCCTTTTTCCCCTAGTCTGTTTCCGTTCTACAAGAAATGAATGACTTGCTTCAACCTCTACTGGACGCTTCCGCTCACGAAATTCACCAGATCTGCCCAGACGCCCAGCATGCCTTGCGTTCTATTACTACGGAAATCCAGCTAAGTCAATAAAAGATGTTTGTTTAAAGGGACCCTATTGCATCACGGGTTATCTTATCGCAATATATTTTTTAATTGCAAGATGATTTGCGTACCACAGGGAGCCCTTAAGGAAATTCTTTCTGTGCTTAGTCACTACGTTCCTTCGCAAAGAAAACGTTTATATTGTATATTCTACATAACAGACACAGGGTGTAGACAAAGGGAAAGTAGAAGTAGGATAATTTGGTGAGGACGTCCATTCCATGATGGGAATTCCTTGATATGCCCCTCCTAGTAATCGATCCCCCAAACCATAGAAACCCTGGAGGCCTTTTTAAATCTCATCGTTATGAACCCGCAATCCTAATGAAATCGTTAGAAACAAGAAGAAAAAAATTGTTGAGATCTCTACCTTAAAGGATAGGGGTTGGTACAAAAACGATTCTGCAGTAGTTTCCCAATGATAGTAAATCACAGTGATTCGTCCAGGAACAAAATACCGCGCCTCTAACTATTAAAACACTTTACAAAACTCTTTGACATACGATATAATATTTACCAAGGGAATTTTTTTTAAACTTATTAAAAGGATTTACAATTCTTTAACTCTATCAGTTATGAACTATCGTATTATTATGAATCTTAGTGGTATGTGTCCAGGGTAACATAGTGAGCTAGTGACTCTTAGTGATATGTGTCCAGGGTAACATGGTATTTCAATGGCGTCCGAACGCAATTCAAGAAAACAATTGGCGACTCTGGATACGAGATTGTCCTAACTTTACAAATGTACTACCTTGATATCTAAAAGAAGCGATATAAAATCAACTGTCTCTATTACATTATTACGTTATTATATTAGGCCTTGTTTTTGCATGATTTTGTAGATGTTCCACATTCGCAGGCTTCATGGCAGAGTTTGCCTACGGTTTTACAAGAGCAACCCTTTTTTTCTCGCCTTCTCTTTGGACACACATGTTCTCCCAACTACAGGTTGTCGTG